GACACCAATACAGACTCTCAGACAGATTGTTAAATTATTTGAATAACTTCAATCTGATTAATATTTTTAACAAGGTTATTTCCTTGCAGCCACCTATAATGGGCTGAATTCATGCCCTGATCAAAGTTTACTGAAGTGAAAGTGAGGACTGCCATTTATTTCAACTTAATTGATACTTTGGATTCAACCTGTAATTAATTTATACTCTAATGAAAATTGTTGGAGGGGGTTATTTTTGGCCTCTCTTATCTACAGTTAATAGGTCTGCTGTTTTTATTAGATTTAGTAGGCAAATTACTTATGCAAATATATTACAAAGGTTGTTAGTTTTCAAGGGTCTGATGCAAGGCCCATCAAAACTAATGAGTCTTCCCATTTACCTAAATGGGTTGTAGAGCAAGCTCTGATACAACTGAGTTAATGCTGTGTAATAGCATTTGGTAACTTTACTTCATGCTTCCTAGTGTTGACTTTAATGCCAATGTCTACCAGTCTTAATCAGAGTTTACTGTTACAATTAATACATAGATATAGATGGAGACGTGCTCTGCTCCAGACATCTTGGTATCTGAACAAGAAAGAAAAAACATGGAGATGTTGTTCCATTCAAATTAAGCATGTTTGTATGTTTCTGGATGTGCTAATGACTGTGTCATGCAAACATTTATTTTATGTTAGCATTTGGGTAATAGCAGTTCTGTGATTTCCTGTGACTGAATCCATGTGATTCATGGGCCAAATGTTTACAGTGCCAACCTGTGAAGTTTGGCATAGAGTCAGGAAACAGGATTGGCATGTTTCATGGATGACAAAGGCAATAGTACCACAAAGCAGATGTGTACAGAAAATATTCATCCAACAACAGTAAACGTTTAAAAAATCCATTGCACAAATATGTAATTATCTCCTTGACTACGAGCACTTATTGACTTAACACTTTTCATACTGTAAAGACTCCTTACTCCCAGATCATAAGCTCCTGAGCTCTGTGTAGTGTAACAGATGTTGGTTAGCACATTGAAAGGAAATTGTATCTGAAAGCACTCATTTTATCTGACAACGATGAAATACAGGTATATTCTGCTGTAGTTACAGCAGTTCACAAAGCAATGCATATGAAAATTGGTTTACTTTACACAATGGTCTGATTTTTGCTTTTTGTCTCTACATCAACTACCCAATTTCTCTTCAAAGTATGAGGAAGCTTGTAGGGTGGCACATCTTGGTCTTGGGTCATAGCTCACCCAGCACAGCTGCATGAGTAGGTTTCACAGAGGATTTTAAGACCAACTTAAAATGTAATTACATGTTATTTTTAAAACCTTTCTTTAATTTTGGTTCATATGCAAGGTAAAAATAAGTGTAAAATAAAACACTGACTGCAAAGTAAAATAAATAAGGACATGTCCTCAGCTTGTAAAATATTAAGATTTCTTTAGTTCTATAAGGGAACATCAACAATTTGCCACTGTTCTTCATGCAGATCTAAATTCAGACTCGGTGTTCAACAGAGCAGAGGTTATTCTCTCTGAAACTGTTTTTTATTAGTTTGCTTTTCATCTGTGTGCAAACACTGAATGTATTCCTGAGGATCTCGAGTCCTGCTTTTCAGTGATCATGCATTCTGGATACAGAAAGCTAAGCTTTTATCCTGTGTTCCGTAGAACACATCATTTTCATTTATCTGCAGATCCTTAAACTGATTCAAATAGATACTGCTTCCTAAAAAAAGTAACCCGGACAACATCTCCCCTGCTCCTGAATGTGGCCTGAAAATGAGAGCCACACAGCATTCAAGAGGTTGAATGCTGAGTTGGGAATAACTTTTCTGCATTTGGCAAAAGGTGAGGGAAATAATTTTTTGGCATGCCAGTATTAAGCAATTGTTGAATCTAACAATTTTACGTGGCCTATGGGCCACAGTAAGATAGTCCAATCTGCATTGAAAACACACACCTCAGATTTTGCTGTTTACATAATCTTCATGTATATCTACAAGAGTGGATAACAGTATTCATGTATATGCATAAGTTTAAAGTTACTTTCTAACGCTTACTCAGCTGAGCATACTACTGTGCAACTCAGCACAAGGGAGGGTGTTTATGATGAGTCTCTCATTTTTGCCAGCTCATTTTTGCCAGCTCATTTTTCACTGCAAACCACATTGCAGCATTAACATTTTAGTTTGGTTCTTCCCAGTAGCAAGAAAAGAGAATGAATATTGCTGCTTTTTAGAATGAAACACGTCAGTAGCAGATACTGCAATGATGCGCTTAATATAAATAATTACATAGGTAGTAGCTTTGAATGCAAGTAATTAGTTTTGCATTAATATGAGATATCAGTTGTAATTAATTAATGTTTTTCTAGATTCATATTCCTAATTAGTCAGTTTTTATTGTTTGTGATATACAAAATAATGTTTTATAAATTTTCAAAAATTTACCAGGCACATTTAATTTATAATTAAGAAAAACATTTATAAATAATTTTATGTAAAGAAAATAGATTATACTTGGGAGTACAGTTTTAGCAGATCATGGCAGTCATGATGTTTTGTAGGATGTCATCCAGAGCATAATTTTCCTATTGAATCAAACCAACCAGATGTGAGCAAATTAATACATAATGTCACTTAAAAAGCAAGGTGTTATCCTTATAGTCTTTGAGGTATATTTTCATCTTATTTATATTTATGATATAAAATAATATTGCTGATTTCGGGTTATTGCTTTAGATTTTTATTAATGTACTGAAAAGAGAAAACCTTACCACTAATTTAACCTCAGAGGCATCTTCACTGCTCTCAGTGAATATTTCAAACGCTAAAATAGTTGATGCACAGAATCATGGTCTTACATAAAAATTCTTTATGAGTAACTCAATTCTAATGTCTGTATGTGCTACTATTATTAATTATCTGCTAAAATAGGAGAACAAAATAGAAAAAAAATGTAAAATCTAAAAAAAACCTTTTAATTTTGTCAAAAAATACATCTACTATTTGATTTAAATATCTATACCTGATCATGTAAATGTCACTTTCATAAGCCTTTTGGAATAGTACAAATGAAAATTTTGAGACTAACACATTGATAAAACATCTATCATGAAAATGCATTCTTTTCAATACCATTTAAAAGTACATGTCTCTGAGCTACTTATGCTGTAATTCTGAATATGAACAAGCCAAAGATTATTCTTTTTACTGTGTCAAAATCCATTATTGTTGGATTATGTTTAGATTATGTCCAGTGTATGAAACATATTTTTCTAGTAGCATGACAGAATTCAACAACCCTAGCGGTGTGAAATAATGTCAGGAATACATATTCTATTGTGCGAAGCTTTTCAGTTATGATTTTTTGACATAACATCAACATGAACATCAAAAATTGCTAAGCTAGCAAGAGTCAGTGTTAGCATTTTGATCTCTTTTTCCTGTATCTGTTTCACAAGCCACCAGATGGTAAAATAATACTAGTATTCTGTTTATCTGAATGTATTCACAGTTTGGTTTTTGTACAAAATGCTATTGTTATTCATTATGCAGGTAGAAACTGAGAATGCTTCAGCTAAGTTCTGTTGTAAAATTCTAGCTTGATATCACAGAACACACAAACCTACTGCTGTGTCCCGTGGATTGAAAGTACTTAAAACAGTGCTAAAATCCATGTATTCCCTTACAGCATGTCATACCTTAACGCAGCAGAAACATTTGACTTCTGAGGTCAGAGAGCAACACTTGCACCATTTCAGAAGGCAAGATAAAGCCCACCCACAAACGCTTGCACTTGATCTGCTCTGATTTAGCGCAAGTCAACAGCTAAACTCCTCCTGCCTTTTACAGAGGTGGTGACATTTTTTTTCTTTCTCTGTCTCTTACCATCATAATATTATTTTCTTTACTTACCTGCTGCAAATTGACCTAGAAAAGATTAAATACATAGAGTTAAGTTCTGGAGATTTTTCTCTTTTCCTTGCACATAGAACAAAAATTACAGGAATCCATCTTGTTGCTCTCATGCAAGACACTGTGGGTGCAAAGAACACAGAATTAGGATAGCCACCTTCTTAGAATTCGCTTTCCACAAATAGTTCTGAGGCTTCTGCTGGTATAAAATCAGTTCCAATAATTTTCACAGGAAGAAAGGGGGACTTAGGTGTCTGAGACAAATTTATTTCTTTAAGTGATCAGAGGAAGTTTTTTCCAGTATTTTTTCCAGCAGTGCCAGTAAGCATGGGATATTCCTTCTTTTGGCAGCCGTTTGAATTAGTTAACGTCTGAAATTTAAAATGCATTCTTGTTCAGCTGTACCCTGGAAACTTTTATGTAGTATTTCCTTTGATTTAATTCTTTATCACATCAAACTAAGATACAGAATCAGAGTGATAATAAAATTTAGCAACACAAATCTTTGTTGTTACCTTTTTTATATTTTTGCTACTCTGCTGAGAGCTCAGACCTTACCATAGATAATAGATTTCCACAAAATTATTTCCTTGTTGATCCAAACTCAAAGAGTCTTTAAATTTTGTTCACTCATTCAATATAAAAATAAAGGAAGATCGTAACTTGAGGGCTGTCAAGAATAGTTTTTAACCCTTTCCTCATACTGGGTGAAAGATAATTTGTACTAATGCTTTAGCAGTATCCTCCTATATGGACATGGCACAAGCAGTAATTGGATCAAAAAAAATGCTGAATTTGAGCTTTAGAAGGAAAATATTGCAATAACAACAATGAAGTTAGTACAATGAGACAAAGTGGTTTTAATTGTGTTTTCTGTACTTAAGATCTTTGTTTTTATACAAGTTGGTTTGGGGTTTTTTTTTGTTTGTTTGTTTGGTTTTGTTTGGTTGTTGGGTTTTTTTTAAATTTTTTATTTTAATAATCAAAATCAGCTGCCTTCCCAGAATTTCCTATGTACATCTCAAAGGCAGTATAGGTGACTACTGAAAAAGAGAGAATCAATAAATATTCCTTTTTTTTCTTGTAGATTCAGCTAATCCAAACCTTCCAACTTGCAGTAGTGACCAGTTCACATGTGCATATGTGCAGCAGTGTTTGCCCCTTGCAGCAAAATGCAATGGGGCTGAAGATTGCATGGATGGAAGTGATGAAATGAATTGTCCCACAGAGATGCCTACTCCCATGTCTCCAGGCTCCTGCAAGCAAACAGAGTTTCTGTGTCCTTCCAAGGGCTGTATCCCATCCCTCCTGAAATGTGATGGTGTACCTGACTGCCACCTTAATGAAGATGAAGTTGGCTGCCGTAAGTTACTTTCATTGCTATAGTTAAGGGCATGCTAACTTATTTTCCTGAAACAGTGATGTGAAAAAGAGCAATATAATGAAGTATAGTGTAAAATTCACTATTCCCTCATCAAGAAAAATTTTTTATCACATATAATATGTTACCTGGACAGATGTTCTGCATTTGCAAATAATTTTGCTTATGCATTCTTGTTTCCTGGCTATCAACTTTGATAAATGTTTAAAATCATCTGTCTTGTATTCTGTTAATAATTGGAAGCATTTTCACATTTTTCTACAGATCAGTCAGGTAAATTTACATTGCCTTATCTCTGATTACAATATGACAAATAAAATTCTACAGTTCTGTAATTCAGTAGTATTCAAGGCAGTCCTGCAGTCCTGACCTTCCAAGGATTTTGAAATCAGGTCTGTCCATGCAGTAGCAGCAATCTCTGTCTCAACCAAGGAAAAGGGCTCACAAGAAAAACACCAGGAAAACAGGTGTTCAACTGTAACTGTAATGAGATATCATGAAGTTTCAGATAGACAGAAAAGTGAGTGTCTGTCCATTTAAAAATATTCCATTATTGGTAGATGAACTAAGTCCAAAGGTTTCATAAGGTCAAAATCACCTGCATAGGAAATACGTGCTTTTTATGTATTTTAACATTTTTTTAACATTTTATTTTTCATCCTTATCATAATCAAAACAGTGAATAAAACAGCAGTTTCCAGGGGGCTAGAAATTCAAGTTCTTTAATGGTTTTTATCAAAACTACTGAATATATATTCAGGAACTGCACATGCCATTTCTTTTTAAAAATATAAAAATTATATGGACTTTGCAGACTCTCTGTGCATCCCTTTCTAGGCACTTGTGTTTAGAAGTGGGCTTTGTGGTTTTGTTGCAAAAGGCATGATTTTGGGGATATCTCTTACCTTTCATTCTAGATGTCCCTAAGTTCAAATAAAACTCTCTTCATTAATCTTCATTCAGCCCTGCTTCCTCCTCAATTTTTCCTTTATTAGAGAACTATCCATCGTACCCTAGTACATGCACATCCCAACCCCAGACAGCAGCTAACGTGTTCTTCTAAAATCCCCAAATCCTAATGCCACAAGATTTCCACAAGCATCAGTATTCCCTGAACAACTGAGGTGTTGTTTCAGTGCCTTTAACCTCTATGCATTATCCAGGGAATGAGACAAAACTACATCCTGCTTTTTTCAGAAATTCTTGTAGGTATCGCACACCTTGGAATTCTGAATTGAGTGGAAACTTAGTCAAACCTGTAATCACAGTGTTACCCCAAGAAAACATTTAAGTTTTTACAAGACAAGACAGGAATATAGTAGCAGGAACTCATGTTTTTTCTCTGAAGAAGACATGAAGCAAAATTTAGTGGTTAGTGATAGTCTGAAATAGAATCAGTGAAAATTTGATTATTTTAACAGTTCCTTCTCCCATCAAAATGTATATTCCATGAGAGTAAAGAATTTCATCTATAGCTGTCTACTTTTAACATGTGAAATGCCATGAAAGTTTGTCAACAGAGAAAATTCAGAGAGGGAAAAAGGTAAATACCTCAAAAATGTTTTTATTGTATTGATATATTTCTGTAATCTTCAAAATTGATTCCTGTGCTGGTAACTCGAGCCTACGTGTACTGTAATAATAATACATCTTAGGAGTAGACATTTTTTTACATATTTTAGAAGAAATTAAATTGAGTAGGACTTCAGTAATAAAGTTTTTTGGGTTTGGGTTTTGGTGGGGTTTTGTTTGTTTTTCTTTGGTGAAGATCAAATCTTCCTGCTAATTTTAGAAAATCTGAGTTTAGAAATTACTGTCACTTTCCATTTTGTGTGGGCCGTGTCCCTTAGAAATTTCATTCACTTAAGAGTAACAACAGATAGTCAGAAATGTTCTGGCTTCTGAAATCAGGAATTAGAAAGTTTTCCTCTAGGATGAAGAGCAGTTGTCTAAATGCATTTTGCAGAGATTAAAAAAGAAGGCCAGGACAAAGAAAAACAAACAAAAAATGCATTAGTCAGATCTCTACTACAACCACAATTTCAACCACAGAAATGCATTTCTGAATGACTTAGACATTTATGCAGACATAATTTCCCGTAGAGTTCACTCAGTAGTTAGGTTGAACAGCATTATGTTGATACTGTTTTCTACCTACTGATGTGGTGGACTTTATTGCTTGCTGCTTTTAACAAGAAAATCTTGGAACTGTTTTCCAGTTGTAGATGTTCTACTTGGCCAGTCCTCTTCTCACTGTCAATTTTAGTGAAAGTTACCTTATCTCATCTATTTATTCTATTTTTTTTTTTTGTCTACTTACAATGGTTAAGATGTAAAATAAGCATATTAGCACCAATGCCTTCTATACATTACTTTTCCACAAGCCCTAACACCATCTGACTGAAGTGCTAATAGCAATGAATAAAAATGATTTCTCAGTTCTCTGTAGTGAACCAAATGTATCTGTTGTAGTCCTGGTAAATATTAATACCTAGTAAACATTAAAATTGTATACTTTCAATGGGATTGTGATCTTTTAATAATTTCTACAGATTTAAATTGGGCCTGAAAAATGAAATATAAGCAAAAAGCTGATATTTTCACTTTCATATCTTCACTGTTGTTAATGCCCCAACTGAGTATCTTTATCCCAAAAACACTTGAAGGCCTGTTATGAAGGCAAAGAACAAATAGTTGGAGAAATTTGAGACTACTTGTAACTGTGTTAACAGTACACAACATTAATTTTACTTTCAATCCAATAAGAGAAATAACATTATTTTTAAAATGTGATCTTAACATTCTTTACTTCAGCACCAGTAACTTAGTGTCATTGGCCTTTCTGTCTTAAATGCTGGATCTATGCAAAGTATTCAGCAGTCAGATCCATTGCTATGACTGTTCCCTCTGTAAGTGATATTGAAATCTCAGTGCAATAAGCTGGTTCAAGGTAAAGGAACATGTCAAAACTACATTGATGATCAACAGATATAAATGGACCAAAAATAATTGGCAGTTCTTCTGTTTTATCCCCAGCTATGAGACCCAACAGCTAGTCCAGGAACATGGGAAATAGTAAAGGCCTAAATGACACTTCATTTCCTACTGCAACCCTCAATGCAAGTTAGAGCTCAGGAACAGAATGTCTGTATTAGTCATAACATATATGACAAACCATACGCAGTACTATTCACATAGTTTACAGTGTCCTCAAAATACATGTGCAGGCATGAAGAATATGTTTTATCTCAAGTTCCCAACTTTGTTTCTGTTGAAGTTCTAATCTGAACATGTAATTATGTTTACAGACTGGTTATTTATATGCAAATGATCACTTATAAAACTGGTTCCAATAACTTTAGGAGATCATCCCCCAAATTGCAAAGGGTGTCCAGGATTTGGATCTGATTGCACACAAAATAAATATAAGGTTATTGTTTGGTTAGAAAAGTGCAGCAGCGGACATGGGTCTGTCAGTTACTTTCTGGAAAGCTGACGATCATAAGAGATAGATATGCTAAAAACGTGGAGTGATGTTGTAATCTGCTGGGGTTTTTCAGTCTGCCACAACTTGTTCCACCAGTCTGAGTGTTCCAGAGAATGCAGATCAGAAATGGGAATTTTTGTTTTTGTTGTTGCTTTTATCCTGCTGTCACTAACAGCAGATTCCCTCTTCAGTACCAAGACTTCTCCGATCAAATGGAGGCTTTGATATAAACACATATGCAGAACAGTATATTGACAATTTAAAAATCATCCAGAACTTTTAAGTTCTCATAAAGGTTAACTGAAATTGGAAACAAAACAAGATCTTAATTATAGTTACTAGTATTCTTCTATGGATTTTTCTGCAGACTTCAGTAAATGGTCAGTGCATGTAATTAAAAGGTTTGATCCCACAAACCCTTATTCATATGAGTAATTTCATAGTTCTGAAAGAACATCAAAACTGGCAAGAGTTGACTAGCAAGATCAAAACTGGCAAGATCTGCCTCCATTATTGTGGTCTAAATTGAACTGTAGTATTTTAAATTTAGCACACTTACAGTCTATATAGGCCAGTGATTTAAATTATATCTCCCTGCCTGGGAGACTTATTGCTGTGTAGACTGGTTCTTGAAACTCAGGAGCAGGAAAGTATTACAATTTAGATGTAGCAGTGATGTATTTTTAATATTCCCAGATACTTTCTCCCACTCTAAACTCACAACCTAATGTGAATGTATCTCTGATGGAGTGAGATTTCCCTCTGATTTCCATTAGTGTCATGGTGACAGAGTTTAGCTTATTACCTAAACAAAAAACTTAAAACCACAATAGTTTAAGGCAGCATAAGAGAACATTGTGTGAAACAAAACGGCAGAATGGCATTATAATCTACAGGAGTCTGCAGGACTGTCAGGTACAGCCTGTAGCTCAGTGACTCAGGAATAATTTAATACCTGAAGCCTTATGTGATTCCATCAAGATTTCCCTCCCATAATTCTTATGGACAAACATAGAAAATATAACACAATGCCCAAGAATAAAAAAGATGTGCAAGTCTAGATTTTTCAGTATAGTATTCCTTTACTTTTTTATATGTTCATTACCTTTAGTATTTGGTTTCTTTTAATACAAGGAAACTATAAAATGTCAAATTTTTTGTTTGTGTTTAAAAATTAATTCCATAATTTTAAAAATAGATTATTAATGAGAGTGGATTACATTTTGTGATATCTTTTTATGTATTTTCATTGGTGTTTTGCAGCTTATTCTGTCAATGTTTTCAGTAAATATGCTCTCCTTTCCTTCAAAAACATAACGTGGGAAAATCCAGCTTCTGTAACATCTGTGCTCTGTTTGTTTACTTATTTATCTAATCAATACTGAAGTTGTATGTCTTTGAGGATGAAAGCTTGTAGAGGTCACACAGACCCAAGTTTATATATTATAGAACAAATCAAGTTTTCTAGTAGTTTTTTAACAGTGAGTAAAAGAAATATAGCTAATAAAGTGTCATGTTACTTTTTGTTTCAGCCATTAAAGATTGTTTCAATGGTTCTTTGTTATGTGCGTCAACCAATCAATGCATAGCAGTCTCTCAGCGTTGTGATGGCATTGCAGACTGCCTTGATTTCAGCCTTGATGAGTCCAGCTGTTCAGGTACTTAGTTTTGCATAAAAATATCTTTTCAAACAAAAAAGTATAGTAATTTCCTACTGAATCTTTAGGCATTCCTCAAACTTGACTGAATTACCTCTGTTAAAACTTAATCAAATTACATCAGGCATGAATTATCCTGTTGAACGTATGATACAGATAAAATAGTGGGGAAAAAGATGGAAAATAATATGCTTAGTTAATGTCTTCACAGGCACTCTTTTGATTTTAGCCAATTAAATAACCCACTTAACCCACATTTATGAGCTGACAGAATTGTTTGTTTGTTTTTTTGTTCAAGTGTAATGCAAATCTGGACTGTAAAATTAAACAAAATATATAGCAGTTCTTTTAGCACAGTGCATTTCCCCCAATATTCAAGTTTGGCTTGCAATAGGGGAATAGTGGAGAAAGGTAAGAACAGGACAATAATACACAACCAATCTGAATCAGATTTTTGTTAACAAATCTAACAAAAAGATATATGATAATATACATAATTAAATTTGGATTCAAAGCATCCCATTGAGTGACACGAACTTACTACAGTTCTTCCCCAAGCCAGTTACAAACTCTGCACACTAGTTCACAACTTATAGTATGTATTCTGATAATATGATTCATTATAGTATGTTAAATTTTTATTCACAAACTAAAAGTTATATATTCACTTCTTGGTAGGAGGCATCCAGTGGTTTCTCTGGGAGCGATACTTGCCTACAAGTATTGTGTTCATTATATATGTTTCTTATACTTTTTTTTTTTTTTTAATATGAGAGAAGGAACCATACTTTAACAAAAATTACCAACTTTACAATACAGAGAGAATCCTTACTTGGTAAAATTTATTTATAAGAAATAATTTAAGGGAAAAAGAATATATTCAGAAATTTGTTCAATGCAAAATAATACAGAACATTAACTCATTGACTTGCATGACAGTAAATTACAAATCTTCCATTATTGTGTTAGAAATCAAATCTTTTAAGTAAGTAATTTACTTTCCAAAATTTCTTCTTTTAAACTGGAGTTGTCCACACTGAATATGCCTCAGCAAACAGTTTTATGTGGCATATATGAAAAATTCTTTAGGTCTAACTTGCATTTTACATTTTTTTTCTTACTAATGAAGATTGGTAGGATTTATTTTTTATTTTGAGTTTTTCTTGCTCTAGGGATGTAAAACTAAACTTCAGTAAAACTAAATCTGATGATGTGGAAATCCATGGTAAAGGATGTCAAAAGTTGATAATAGTATATCACTGACGTTCCCCTCTACTTAAACATCTTTATGCTTTTTAACACTGATTCCTCTAGTTCTTATGAGAATGTGATTCTAAGTGTTAAAATTGTAGACATTTTTAATGAGAAGGTTGGTGACACAGGTGTAAACGTCTGTTCATCATCCTTATATGAAAGTTATTAATAATAAAGTAGACTTAGGTACTAATTTAATGTAAGTTCAGTTCTTTTGGCTTTTATTTTATATATTCCTATTTGAAAATTGAGTAAGTAGAAAAAGCTCTGTTTCTGGAGGGAAATGAAACTGACTTGAGAAAAATTAGAAGCCTGTTCTAATACACTAGAGTGTATTCATGACTTGACACTTGTATCACTACATCAGGGTCTAAAGGAAGTGTTTTTGGAAATATTAAACACCCAAAATAACACCTTTCAATATTCTGACATCTTGAAAATCAGGTAATGACAAATATAATAATGAGGGTGTGAGTTTTAATTATATTTCTTTTATTTTTATGTTTGCAGTTTGTCCTGAAGAATATTGCAAGAATGGAGGAAGATGCATCATCAAAGATGACATTCCGATATGCCAGTAAGTTTCATTGGGGATTGATTTGTACCTAAAGTTGGGAATAGGTGCTGTTGAAAGAGCTGGTTTGTTCCCCAGGACCTGAAATGACATTCAGTAGAAATGTATTTTTTAAAGTGTCTGTATGTATACACTATCTTTCTTTGCAGTTGCTGTGTTAAACTGCATTTTGAGAAGAATATTATTTATCAGATAGAATTTTCTGTAACTTTCATCTATCGTTACACCCTGTCGGCTTCACACCTGAAGTTTTCTTGTGTCTCATGTTTCTCATGAACATTTAACAACACATACCTCTGTGACAAATAATGCCTTATATGCAGCAGGTACTGTGTACCTTGGACAAGATTTACAGCAGTCCATGTTCTCATCTTTACCTGAACCTGTGATGTCTTTTTATAGAATGTTATTTTTACACATATTTAGAGAAAGAAGGTAATGATTTTCCACTTTTTCCAAGCAAAATGTATTTCTCTGGAAATAGTCTATGCTGAAAAACAAATAATGTATACAATTCTGATGTGGAATGTACGAGTCATTAGAAAGTGGCTCAGGCTATCTGAAGAGATTATTTTACAGAAGATCTCACTCTGTTTCCCACTGGAAAATTACAGGAAACTTTTTAAAGTGCAAAGAAAACAATGTTATACATTATCATACTTCCATCCTTCATGTGCTTCAGTAGATCTTGCCAAACAGTTTGCCAAATTACTAAAGTGACTGTTCTATCAGTGTGTCTATCTTAGTCAAGAGCAGACATTAAGTTTGTCTCCTAGTCCCTAGGAAGCTCACATTAACGAACCTGCTGACAAAATTTCAGTTATTGAAGAATTTGTATCTTTCAAGATGTGGTTATCCTTTATTGGTTGAAGAAATGTGATAATATATTCAGAAAGTACATGCACTTTCATACACAGTGCTTTGATTTAGCTCCCAGGGAACACTGTTAATTACCTGCAGAATTCCCGAGGAATCTCCTCTGTTGTAGAATAAAGAATAGTGTCTACAGGAAGCATGGAATTTCATTTATGTGGCTGTTTCAAAACTTCTTGTGCCACAGAAGAGAGAAATGGGAGTAAAAACACAGGGGAAGGTTGCAGATGAAACAGAATGGATAGCCAGCAGAAAATAAAGGGATTAGGAATAGACAGAGAGTTTACAATTGATCGATTAAACCGTTGATCCACAAGAAAATTACTTGTAGGGACAAGGCACTGGGGATTACTTGAGATTTTAGGGATCCAAGAGAATTATAAAAATTTCAATTATGAATTCCAAAAGAGAGGAAACCAAATTAGCAAATGGTTCTTTGTCCACAGAAATAAACCATAGTTTGAATTGTAGGATAGTAAACAGAATTCTTTCCCTCAGCATTAGGTAAGAAGCACGATATTGAATTCAGATGCAAGGCATAGGTAACTGGAGCAAAGGAACAGAAATGAAAATTACCTAACTGATGGGCTACCATAACTCCAAGTGGGGTATGTGTTTGTGCTGGGAAAATCGGTCATCTCTATTCAAAAATCCTTGAAAATTAGTGCATGTTGCAACAGTGGAAAGCTTTCTGAAAGCTCTGCTGGTAAGGGATGTGACTGGAAAATAACAAATGGAGCAGAAAAGGAATAGGCAGACCAACAGCCTGACATTAATACCATTCAAGGCTTTAAAATATTTTGAAGAAATTACTCAGACATATAATAACAGGGGAGTTAGCCATTTCTAAGATAAGCTTCTGCATGATGTTTAAAAACCCCACATGTCAGCATCATGGAAAGAAAGGAATAAAAATGTAACGTAAACAACAAAAAGTGCAGAAGTATCCCAGTTTTCCTAGGAAAAATATTAAACGCCTAGAAATTAACATAGAAAAGGCCCATATTTTTTACCTGTCTGTTCTCAGTTCTTAGCTTATAGTTCCTGAAAAAGGCTTGATAGATTTAGGTGAAGATAGCTTCTCTCAAGAGCAACTGCTCTTCTAGACTGCAGTGTAGTTCAGGAGAAAAAGCAGAGTGTGTAACAATGCAGGAAGACGGCAATGAGACTCCTGAAAAGAGCACAGGATGGATACTGCCCTGTCACAGAAGTGGCAGAGAAGGAGAGTCTTCCTAGATACTCAGAGGTAATTGTGTGTTGATTACAGTAACCCTAAAAGTCATCTAATTCCACTTATAATCTTCAGTGACACACTGGACAAGGAGAAAACTTTTTAACATATCCTTTTATTGCTATTTTTTCTTACACAGTGAATTCTGATCTTCCTTTATTTTAGATGCTTATGTTCTAGTTTCTAAAATTAAAACTGGTTTAAAAGTTTCCTTGGTCTTCCCTGAGAAGATTGGTTTAACAACAACAGAAGTCTGGGCATGTCTCAAAACTGCAGCCGATTCAAGGTTCCGTCATGTTCCTGTAAAAACTGGAATTGCTTCTCATCTTACCTTAATTTGCAGAATATTCATAGAAAAGTATTGTTTCTGGAAAAACTTTTGTTGGTGATAAGGGGTGGTATTTTCAGTGGGTTTAATGCAGTCTAGTTGAAGTACTTAACTGTATGGAGTCCCCTATGTAGTTTTATATGTCAGCATGAGAACAGGGTGAATTTGAAGTAGCTACCTCAGCTACTAAGATTGAAAGTTGATAGTTTTTATACGTTTAGTATTTCTCAAGTTTCTTTGATGCTGTATATTTTCATATGTGTACATTATTGTTGCTTGGATATATAAAGTAAATACGTAGCACATCAGCCTGACTTTTTTCCAGTAGTTTTAACTGAGATAGTTTAGTAGAAGGTGACCTCCAATATCACTCTATCAAGACATATCAGTAAGCCAGGTGGAAAAGATAACAGTGGATACAAATCTAGATAAAGGTTCTGTATATATTAGAGTGGGTAACAGGTTTGGTATATCAGGTTGCTGTCATTTCTCTTCATGCTTAGCTGGTGCATAGTGATTGTGCTAATAACAGTCAGAGTCCACTGTATTTGAGAATGTGATTATTGATATGGTCGTGGGTGTTCTTAGTGTTTGCAAGTAAATGCAGAGTAATGGTGTTTTGCAGATGATAGGAAGCTTGCTCCTTGAATGAAATGCAACTTGATGGCTGTCCTGATCCTCTCTGGTATTTGACTTCTGAGTTAGGTTCAAAAGCCATTTGCATTTGCTTCTCCTAATTGGTCAGGAGAGTATTTGGGGTTCAATATTTCAATATTGTGCTTCTTACCTAATGCTGAGGGAAAGAATTCTGTTTACTATCCTACAATTCAAATATGTTTACCTCATTCTTCTTACTCCTTGGGTATCCTCTTTGGTTGCCAGACTAGACGGAGCTTTAGACTGAAATATTACGGCCACTCTCTTCACAAAATGTTACTCTTATTTGTCCTGACTGAGTTCTCTTCTGTAGCCGATGTACAACAAAGTGGCTAGTGCTGGAAATCAGCTAATGTGAGTCATGCAGATCAAGATAGTTTGAGCAATAATGGCTAGATTTTGCAATTTCAATAGTCTAGTTTCAAAATTATTCCTTTGATTATATGTATATTTTCCCCAATTGTCTGTCCACTGTTTTTTGGTGGTGGTGGGTTTGTTTTTTTGTTTTGTGGGGGCTTTTTTGTGTGTGTGGTTTTTTTGTGTTGGGTTTTTTGTGGGTTTTTTTTGGTGTGGGTTTTGTTTTGGTTTGGTTTTGTTTGGTTTGGGTTTTTTTAAGGTGAGACCATAAACATAGGAAAGTAATACTGGTGAGAACAAACAAGCTGAGAAAAATGTGTTTCTAGCACAATGAAGTGGAAGTGTGCAGATTCAAAAATTTGACTAGTGCTGAAAAAAAACCCTGAGTACAGAAAAAAAGTATTTTATGAGGCTGATAATAAATAATTTTAACTCTCAAACCAGCTAGACAATATTAATACAATACATTCACATTTTAAATGTACCGAAACTCACATGTAATAAACATAATATAGTGCTTCTCTTTCTTTTTATTTTATACAAACACTTTTGATGCAATAGACCTAATTTCAGAACAGTTACACTGACTAATTCTAGAGTATAATGAGAGTGCTTTTATTAATGTCTGAACTCTAACAAAGCTCTATCCTTAAGCAGATGTAATTACATTCACTGTCCTGTAATTAAACAATCAAGATATAAATTAGGAATACATCTTCATTTAACAGTTTTTAAAGTACATTGAATATGTACCATCTAGCTAACTGAGCTGTGGAGATTAGAATTTCAAGGAGTCATTATACATAGTTAATTAATTAAGTTTATCTTTATAGTCGTGTATCTAAATGATGATTTGGCCCAAAGTACAGAAGTTGAATTATTTTGTTTGTTTGCTTTATGTGATAAAAGTGAAAAAGATTGCTTTCCACTTTATGTTTTAGAAAATAATTGAATTTACAGGTTAATTATTCATTCAGAGGAGAGGATTTTTTGCTATTCTCCTTAAAAAAGCTACAGGATATTTGGACCTTTATTTTGTACTTCTCTCCTTCTTATTTTTAAAATGAGCTCATTATTATAACCACAGATGGTCTGTTTTAATGTGCAAATAAAGTATTTTATCTCCAGTGGTACAATAACAAATAGTATTCCACAAAGTTTACTTTTTTGGTAGGTGAGACATTTTCTTCCAATCTGATTTTGTCTTCAAAATACTAACTTCTGCTAAGCACAATACATTTTTTGAGGAGAAAGCCTACAAGGTGACATACAACTTGAAATAATGCCACAGTAGACTCATTCAATACCTTTTCCAGTGAAGCATATGTGACAAAATATTGAAATTCTACATCCCTCTGGACAATATCTACCAGTGAAGAATGTAGGGGTTTTTTTCTAAACATGTTTGCTTTTAGATGTAGTGTTATATATACTGTTTCATATACTGTTTTACTTGATTTTTAAGGAATGATAACGGTAGCTATCTTTAAAAATTGTAAGTGGGGGGATTTTTCTAATATCACACAGTGTGTCATGAAAATGGTGTTGTAATAGTAT